TAAACATGTGTGAGGCATAGTCCTTCTCGGGCACATTGAGACTAGTCAGGAAAGTAAGACATGTACATAAATCAGTTTAATACATGTATAAAATGGCGAGGCGCCATAGGCACCTTGTGCGATGAGATGAGATAAGCAGTAATGGGTGTGAACTACAAAATGAATGCTGCTTCACTTTTGTTCTCTAAATCTCAGATAAGCATCTATCTTGTGACCTGCCCTAACCATAAATATATAGGAAATAAAATTCTGGGAAATCCATTGCAGCCTGAACAAGTTGACACAGTATAGATAGAGCCATCACACCATCGCTTTCCACTCTCACTTTTTTTCTTTTTTTTCTATTTTTTTATTTATTAAATTATTATCTGTGTACATATTTTAACATTGCCCCCCCTCCCATACATACCCTCCCTCCCCAGAGTCTCACTTTCTCAGTGGGCCCACACCAAAGTGTCATGGCAACAAGGATGGGCTCAGCAACCTGATGTTCCACTCGTCAAGCCCAATTTAGCATTGGCCATCACCAGTCATTAGGGAAATGCAAGTCAAAACGAAGATACTGCTTTGCACCCACCAGGATGACTCTAATAGAAAAGATAGACCGTAACCAGTGTTATAAGGATTAGGAGAAATCAGAACCCTCACACACTGCTGGTGGTAATGGAAAATGGTGCGGCTGCTTTGGAAAATAGTATGGCAGTTCTTCAAATGTAGTGGGGGAGAATGGAGAGCGACTGTTAATGAGTAAGGACTTCTGCCTATGACAAATGCTGTAAAATCAAATGTGATGGTCACACAACTCTGAATATACCCCAAACCATTGCATTGTGCAGTTTAAATGGATGACCTATATAGTGTGTGAGTGATATCTTAAAGCTGTTAAAATGCTCTGTCAATTATTTTTACCTACCTAACAGCTTCCAGAGGAACTCATATTATTTACATTGCAATTGCTTTGTTTGTAATTTCTCTATATAATTAGATAAAGGGTTTTGGGAAAGATGGCATAACTTTTTACTTGAAACCTTTCATTCTTGATGATGTATCATCATTTATACCTGAGCATAATGGTTATCTTTTGCCAAAGATGGGACTGCACAACTCAAGTGCCCACTGTGTTAGCTGATAGCTGTGCAAGTCTTGAGAAGAAGGGCTGAGAATAAGATGAAATGCCAGGCCATGAACAAACTTCCAGGGACACGCTCCCAGCCCTTGAAGTATGTATGAGGTTGTAGATAACAGTTTGGTAGTACTCATAAACATAGAGGGAGCAGAGGCATGAAAATGCAAACCGTAACAGTTGTGCAAATATAACAACAACAAACCCAGATGGTGGGTGAGTTTCTGTGGAAACAGCTGGGCAGAGGAAAAGGAACAGGCTGGGGACTGGGCCCTGGGGGAGTCAGCGGATGGGAGTCAGTCAGGGTATGGCAAAGAATGGGAACTAGGTAAAGACTGGGGAGAACATCCCAATGGGATAGATTTCTTCCTTGTCTATTATGCTGGCTTTTTCAAGTGGAGTAGAACTATGTATGTTTGAAGAGAGCTTGGCTACCTGCATTAATTATTAATACAGCACAGTACTGTCATCCTATTTAATGCATCTCTTTAGATTATTTCTTTATTTAAAGCATTATTGTGAACTATAGAAGAGAAGCCACTAAAAGATTTCCCTTATAGTGTTGTCACAAGACAATGGGCCTAGAAGGGAGCCAAGTAACTCAAATGGGTTGGACACACATGTTCCTAAACCAATCCAGAATATATCTGTTTATTTTCAAAATGATTAAAGAAAAATAGTTGGCAGCTTTCCTCAGTGGCCTATGATACTCTCTAATAACACTCACTTCCTTTTGTTTAAAATATAAAAATAAAGAGAGACGAAACTCTAACATGCCAATCAGTAAATGTTACCTTCTTACTATAAACTTGGCTTATCTTATATGAACAACAATCAAAAATAACGTGGGAGCCATAAACTGCCGTCATCTGGCAGCAGTCTCCTGTTCTTAGGAACATTGGTGGATTGAGGTTGTGGTTCTCAAAGGGACTTAGTATTTTGGGCAAAATTTCCAGGACACTGTGTTCTACTGGACATCAACAACCTCTGTCCAATCAAAGATATCCTTTAAAGATTAGAGGCCACTCTGGAAGGGTCTGAACGTTTCCGTGTTCAGTACAGGCACAAAATGAACTTGACCTTTGTTCAAGACTTTTTTCTTTTATTTTTAAAGAGCGCTAGACATATGGGAGTATTCCTGAAGTTCTGCCTCACTCTTTTAGGTTGTAAAGGCATTTCTGCTGATAAGATTTAGGATTTAAGATTCTGTGGTTTAGGATTGAGAAACTACTGATACCTTTGTGAGAAAACTACGCATTACATTTAAGAGGCTGAGAAAATCTGATTAGCAGGCAGTTCTCAGCGAACAGACATCTCAGGGCCCTCCCACTGCACTACTTTGGAGATTCAAACATGCAAAAAGTAGTCTCAAGAGTTATCTTGTGTAGAAGTAGGCCATAGAGGAACTAAGTCTTCCAGGGGCTTCTGAGAAAGTCAGAGGTGATATGTATGTGATAGTTTCTACATATATGCATTTGTTTAGTAGATTTTGGTTTTCTGTGGAATAAGAGCAGAGAAGCTAGGAAATGATGAGTGAAATTAATAAAATCCCTTTATCAACTTGGTGCCTCTGTCAGCAGGATAAAAATTAATGTAACAGTGGGTCTTTATTAACTTTTTAGAATATTCCATGGCACCCATTCCTACCCGTGTTTCCCCGAAAATAAGACATCCTCCGAAAATAAGACCTAGCGTGTGGAAAGATAAGACATCCCCTGAAAATAAGACCTAGCGCAACTTTGGGAGAAAAAATTAATATAAGACACTGTCTTATTTTGAGGGAAACAGGGTAACAAAGATTGCCAGGCTAGGCTCTTCTCTCTCACGGAACTCTTCATTTCTGCCATTTCTGTTCAACAAGGCTAAGCTCATGGGGGCTTTAGGAGCTTGCATGAAACCATACTGTGTTTGGCGCTGCCCTGAGAAGAACTTCCATTAGGAATGTGGGGCATGTTTTGTTGAATTATATTTATAATACTTTTCTTTTTAAAAATATATTTTATTGACTTTTTACAGAGAGGAAGGGAGAGGGATAGAGAGTTAGAAACATCGATGAGAGAGAAACATCGATTAGCTGCCTCCTGCACACCCTTACTGGGAATGTGCCTGCGATCAACGTACATGCCCTTGACCAGAATCGAACCTGGGACCCTTCAGTCCACAGGCCGATGCTCTATCCACTGAGTCAAACCAGTTATGGCTGTAATACTTTTCTTAATGTTCTCAGACGATCGAGCATATTTAATTTTTTTTAAAAAATGTTACAAAGCAAAGATAAGTTTTTGTGAGGCTATTAACTTGAGTATAAATTCATCTTATAGAGGAAAATGTAAAATTTTCCAATTTTAATTAAGGGAAGAATTATAACAAGAACCAGCTGTTGTGAGGACTGCTGGTGAGCTTACCTAATCTCATTCTCCTCCCTCTCCATAGCTATTTCTGTGTTCTGGGTAAAATGTCTCTGCCCGTTTCTCTCAGAATATAGTCCGGCATTTTCCAAAGATGACCTTGTTTCCTCAACACCATCATATGCCCCAGAGCTTTTTAGTCTCTGTTTTTACTCTTTAGAATTATAAAAAATATGAGGGGAAGGTTTATAAGTGTCACATTTCAAAGTTCTCACTGGGGAAGTTTAAGATGTCTCTAGAACAAGCCTATCTCAACATTTCATCAACCATATGGGAAGCCGGAAAACAATGTTTATTAGCAAATGCTTTGGGAACAGAGAATTTCCTTTCTACTAGTTTCTAGCTAATGTCCCAGGGATTTCATTTCCTCATATATAAAATTGGGATATTCATAGTGCTTGCCTCTTCAGGATTGGGGTAAGCATTACATAAGATAATGCATATGAAGAGCTTAGGCCACTGCCAGGCATGGAGAAAGATCTTAATAAATGTTAGTAATGATGATAAAGAATTTGGAGGCTTGAAAAGTATTACAGCAGAACAACATGGTATTTTCAGATAAGAAATCAGATCATGTAATCTGCCAAGGTTATTTGAATTTGTTACTGTGGAGGAGAAAATCATTTCTTTTTCGCTTACTGGCTGCATATATTTTTACTCAGTTGGAGTGTGTGTGCACACATGAATGCAGATGCTGTTATGTTTTATGTCCCTGCCTTGATGGTCAAGAGTTTTGTGTTAGCCCTTTCTAAAGCATCCAACACAGCTATTAATGTTGTAAAGCGCATACAATAGGCCTTCTACAAATATCTAATGTTTTTATTTGATAAAAATCAATATCTCATGCAAAATTAGTAGATATTGCTACCTTACAAAGATTTACAAGATGTTTATTTTTAAAGAAAAAAAAAAGAATTGAATTAAGAAATAAGGCCTTAAAAACTACCTAGACCTGTTATTTTTGAGGATCCTGTTACTTTGAAAATGGCTCTTAGGTTCGCTGGTTTTGAGTTTTTAACCTGTTAACCGAGCGGGACCTATAAATAAGTCAAACGTAAACACTATCGGGAACAGGTAGGACATATGAATACGTCCTTGAAATATATGTTGCGCCCTAAGAGGGACGGTATATATTTTTTGTAATCTTTATAATTGTTTGTAAAATTTATAATTTTTTAATTCGATGTTTCCATTTTTTTGTTGGTATTCTTTTCTATTTGTTTGTAATTTTGTATTTTTCTTTGTGCTTTATATATAAATAAATGAAAAAATATATATTTCATTTATTTTAATTAAGAATAAATAAAAAATAATATAAAATTATGTCCGCTGGGCGTGACGTACTGACACGTCCTAGTGAAAGAGTATGCGCCCATTGTACGTTGCTTAATTAAAAAGGGAACTCCCCGGTTTATAGGTTAAAATGCTGACCTCACTCAACGCATTATCCTTTTGTTTTTATGTTACAGGGGAAATCTTACCCATTTCGCGGTGCCTTCCCTCCAGTCTGGAACCCCATTGCATATCTGGATTACAACAATCTGTGGCGGACAATGGATAACATGGGAAAGGAGGTAAACAGTGTGCTCAGCTAGCACATGACCTGTTTCTAAAACAACAATAGCAGCTCTTTAATATCCTTCCACAGCACAGGGAACATTGCTCTGGATTATGTCACAAATCACACCCATAGCTCTGCAAAGTTGGTTGTATTTCCACTTTATAAACGAGGGAAATTAGTTCCAACGGGTTATGTAATTTCCCAAGACCACACAGCAAGGTAGCCAGTATTCAAACCTACATCCATCTAATACTAATGCCTGTGTGCTTTCCGCTCTGTGCCACTGAGAACCTAGTGATTTATGTTCACCAGGTATCCTACTTAGAGTTGTCTTACCCCTATGTGATGCCACTTCAGTAGTAAAGGAGAGAAATATTTGCGTCCCTAAAGCTTTTTGTCTTAGTCTCAGGCTTTGTAACATCACTCTCTCAAGCTTAAATTGGGGACTTAAAAATTGGGGACTTAAATTGGGGACTTAACTTCAGATAATAATTATCATCAAAATTTATTAATTTTATATATGTATTACATATTAACACAAGTATGTATATGCTGCTATTATTGTTGTTGTTATTATTGCAACAGCATTAGGGCATAGAGTCCAAAGGGGTATCCATCCCAAACTTACCAGTTTTCAGAGGTTTTTTTCTTAGGACATCTTGGCAGAGCAGTGGGCAGTAACCATCACACCTGCATATGAGCCCTTCTTTCTCTGTAGATTCCAGCTGATGCACCATGGGATGCCCCGCATGCCGAAGAATGGGACAGAATTACGATGAAAGAACTCTTTGATAAAATCTGCTGGACAGAGTAATTTTGATTATTTAAAATTTACTTTTATATTCCATCCTGATTCTTTCTATCTCATCTTGAACTGCAGCATTTTTCTTTAAAAGTCACTGGGAAAGAGTTAAGAGGAAACCTAATGATTCTCCAGTCAGTGGCAACATTGAGGGCACTTAGAGATTTCAGAGCAGGTTTGAACATAAAATGAACCTAAAACATAAGTAGGTGAATGAAGTAGAACTTTTTTAAATAAAAAGGTTCTGTGATTTGCAATAAAACAAGTACTAATGTTTTCAGATTATATAGCAGTCCGCTACAGAAGCAATTTGGAAAGATATTAAAGTAATTCCATGTAGATATAAAAATGTGAAACTAGAAGGACACTAGTATATTTAACAAAAATATAAACTATATACTCTTTTCAATGAAAATCTGCGTTATTACCCGAGTTACAGATTATTCAGTCATCATGTGGGGCTGCTATGTGATGGCACTGTACCAAGCATTGAGGAAGGGTGGTGAATTTGTCAAACAAGGCCCCAACCTTTTAGCAGGAGACTGGCAGTATGGGAAAAGTTACATAGTGCTAGGAGAGTGTAAGAATGAACTTGAAATGTCAGAGAATAAAGGTGGTATTCTGTTTAAAGATTGGAGTGACTGTGTAGGGAGACAGGAAGGATATATTATGTATAAGGATGGTACCTTCCAGCTATAAACCACATTTTATGGGGGTATTCAAGATGGAGGGATTCTGTGGGGGATGGTATCTTCCAGGAATGAGCTGCAGTGCATGAGGGAGGCACGAAGAATGGTGTAGAGGGGTGATATCTTCCAAGTATTAGTCAGTAGATTAAGGGGAGACATAAAAGATGGATGGTACTTGTTGATGGTATCTTCCAGGAATAAACCATAGTAGTTGGGGTATGATGGGGGAAACATGGATGGTTTAAGGGGATGGTATTTATATACTGTGTATGGGTCCAGACCTGAAAGGATGCATGGTATATTCCAGGAATGAGCCACCGTGAGTGGTGGGAATTATGAAGGGTAGATGACTTGGAGAAGTTATTTTCCAGGTGCAGAGAATAGCAAACAGTTTTTCTAATGGCTGTGCAACCCTTTGGTGCATAGGACAATGCCCACACTGACCAGGGCACATGCCTGGGTTTTGAGAAGCAGCCGATTGATGGTCCACTCTCTCATCAAAGTTCCTCTCTCCCTCTTCCATCCCCTCACTCTCTCTCTAAAAAAATTCATTGGCTATAATTTAGAGAGGCATAAAGAGGGAATATAAGAGAACCATTAAGGGATAACCATGAGCAGCCACCATTGTAACCCAGTTGATAGTCATTGGTGGCCTAGACCAAGGTGGGGGCTGTGGAGGTGGAGAGTAGAGGATGGTTATTCAAATATGTGAGAACAGGTATCTTTAATTATCCTTGAGAAGCATATTGATCCTTTAGACTCCACTGGGGTTAGCATATTTAGAGTGACCCATAATTCCTAAAAATAAGGGGAAAGTTTATTTTTCCAAAGAGTTAAAATATGCATTCATTCATATATGGAATTCATGAGTGTTTTTTAATAGTCGTAGAAATGTCTTGTAACCATACTAAGTTGTGTTTTAAAACCATGATATCCTGTGAAGTATATCTGTATTAACCTCTGATATCTGCTCTTGTTCTGTGACCAGGACAGCTAGGCGGTTTGCTTCTCTCTTTGTGAACATCAATGTGACCTCTGAGCCTCACGAGGTGTCTGCCCTGTGGTTCCTGTGGTATGTGAAGCAGTGTGGTGGCACTACCCGGATTTTCTCGGTTACCAATGGGGGCCAGGTATGGAGCGTCCTTTTGCAAATATACCTTCATTTGAGAGTTTTGCCCTCATCCAGATCAATCTATAATAATAAGAGCATCTTATGCTAATTAGACTGGATGTCCTTCCAGATGGCCTTCCAGACGAAGCTGGGGCTGCGAGGGAAGCTCGGGTCCTAGTTGCTGGAGGGAAGCCAGTGCCGGCAGCCGGAGCAAGGAAGGCCTACTCTTGCACGAATTTTGTGCATCTGGCCTATAGTATCTTAAAAATTGCTTCTACATTTTGAATACAAACAATGAGCAGCTTGAAATGATCCCAAAAATATTTTCTGAAAACAAAATTTCTTACTTCTTTTTCTTATTTCTGAAAATAAATTTACAGCTTAAGAATTTTTATTTTGAATTAATTACGTCTTGGGAATTAACTTCTTCCCTTTTGGAGGTAGGTAAAATTAGGCTAGCTATGTAAGGGGGAGCTAAATTACTATAATAACTAACTTCCAAAAATTTATAGGACAGCTGTTCTCCCCCTCTCCCATCCACGGTTTTTCTCTTACTGATTTCAGTTAGCTGCAGTTAATTACAGACTGAAAATATTATATGAAAAATTCCAGAAATAACCAACTAATACATTTAAATTGTGCAGTGTTTTAAGAAGCAAGGTGCAATGTCACATCCTCCTATTGTATCTTGCCTGGGACTTGAACTGTCCCTTTGTCTAGTGCAAAGTACTGATGCTGGCAATTCATATATGCCAAAGAGAAGTCACAAAGTGTGTGTGTGTGTGTGTGTGTGTGTGTGTGTGTGTGTGTATGAAAAACAGTGTGTGTATATATATATATATATATATATATATATATATATATATATATATATATGCTTTGGTTCTAAGGTTTCAGGCATCTTTGTGTCTTAGAACATATCGCATCAGACAAGGAGGGGATTACTGTACTTGTAAAATTATTGTACTTAAAGTAATTTCTGCTCCAGACATAAAGCTTTTCTTTTTTTCCCCATGGTGAGTATAGCAGATTGCAGTGAGGCAGAGCACTTAGAGAGCTGCTCAAGGGAATTTCTTAACAATCTCTGGAGGAACAGACAGGTGCTTAGCTTTCACCTTGCTGGCCCTGCATTGAAACTTCCACACATTTTTTCAAGAAGTTACTCAATGTCTGAAATTCAGATGCTTAGAACGTCATTGGGTGATGAGCAGATATTTATTTACAAGGGCATTCTGAGCCTGTTCTCTTGGAGAACACTTTAATTTTCCTGTACAACCCTTGGCTAGCGCTTTGAGAAACCAAAGGGAGTTAGAAACTGAATCCCCATTTCAATGAACCTAGAAAAAATACTATTTTTTAAATAAAAGAAACCATATCCCTTGGGAGGAAGCACAGCCCCTTCCAAGGTTTCCCCCATGCACTGCACCCCTGGGCATTGGAAGCCCTCAGACTTGCTGATATTTGCATTCAGTCAAGGGAACATGGTGTAAGGGGACATTTCTTTTGATTCTGTGACTTTATAAACTAGGACCTGCTTTTCATTGCCAGAAACTGCAGAGCATGATAATAGAGGTCTCTTGATAGACTTTGCCTCTGACCTAATGAATTCTTCCAATGTTTAAGTGTACAGAGGATGAAGGTTTGGCTTCTGGCTTACTAGAAGTTTTCTCATCAGTGGCAAACAGGATATTTCTTCCTTGGGCTTTTATAACGTTTCCTGCCTGCCTGCTCCCGCAGGAACGGAAGTTTGTAGGTGGCTCTGGTCAAGTGAGCGAACTGATAATGGAGCGTCTCGGGGACAGAGTGAAGCTATGTCAGCCTGTCACCTGTGTTGACCAGTCAGGTGACAACATCATCGTACATACGTTGAATGGTGAAGTTTATCAGGTAATGCAGTCTAGTCAAAAGGAGCATATATTAAATAGGCCTTATGTCTTCCGTAACTTCTAATCAAATATAATCCCAGCAGTGGCACAATTAAAGCTGGCATGTTTCCTACTCAGACTCTTTCAAATGACCAGCCTTGGTTGACCTGTCTTGTTGTTTTTTCTCTTATAGCGACCTCATTTTGTATGCTGTTTCTGCTCAGTATCATTCAAAATGATACATATGTTTCACGCTCTCTGCAAATATTCTGACTTACATTTGAGGTGGTATTTTGTGTTTGTGTCTTTTAGTGCAAATATGTAATCAGTGCCATCCCGCCCACTCTGACGACCAAGATTCACTTTATTCCAGAGCTGCCAACTGAGAGAAACCAGTTAGTGCAACGCCTTCCAATGGGAGCTATCATTAAGTGTATGATGTATTATAAGGAAGCCTTTTGGAGGAAGAAGGGTAGGCTGCATTCATTCATGTTTAAATTGTACTAACTGAAGAAACTATTTTTTTTAAGTAGCGTTATACTAAACACTGAATAGGAAAAAAAAAACAAAAAAAACCTAAGTGGTTTCAAACTGATAGAAAAAGGAGCAGAAATTCCAGTTTGTTCATTTCCTCATAACACAAAATGCCCCCAAGAATACTTGCTGGCAGTGAAAGAGAAGGAAGAGATCCCTCTAGTTGCATGGCCACCATTACCCTGGCTCCTGGCATATGGCCTCCCACTTATTCTTCATGAGCAGAGTGAGACAAAGGGCCATCATGGAAAAAGCACTGCTCTGAAATCTCACTTTCCTGGGTTTCCCTTGCTTGCTACCCTGTTTCCCCGAAAATAAGACAGTGTCTTATAATAATTTTTTCCCCCAAAGTTGCGCTAGGTCTTATTTTCGTAGGATGTCTTATTCTCGGAGAAACACGGTAGCCGTGTGGCCTATGGTGTGACACTTCACCTCTCTTAGCATCAGTCTCTTTGTGTAAAATGGTAACAATGAGACCTACTGTCAGATTATTGTGAAGATTAAATGAGGCAGGTTCTGGGCAGATATGGTAGCTATTGTTAATAAGCCTTCTGCTCACACTCAGAGGATTCCTTCCTGCCACTTCTTCCATGAGTACATTGGGGTGATTCACTCTAACACACCCCTATCTTTCCCCTATGTATTCCAGGATTCCAAGATCATCTTACAATTTTAGTCATGCATTTATGTAAAGGCCATCAAGATACATCATTTTCTATGTGTCTGGTGAACATACATCTTGTATAATCAAGTGTGTGTATTTGACAGGAAATAGATTATAGGGTTAGGGCAAAGACCAATAGTTTAAGCTTTGCCTTTCCCTTAGCAAAATAGTTTATATGTATACATTTCCCCTTGAATCTCTGATTTGTTGATTCTCAATAGCCTATTGATTTTCTTCTGGTTAAGGCTACTGTGGTTGTATGATCATTGAAGATGAGGAGGCTCCAATTTCAATAACCCTGGATGACACCAAGCCTGATGGATCATACCCTGCTATCATGGGGTAAGTTTGTGCTGGGTGTTCTGCATTTTCCAAATGGTGTTGGTGTATTGTGGACCCTGGCAGAGCATATTGTTTTCGAATTGAGCTCAAGCAATGATAATATAACCCTGCAGAAAAACATAATGTTTCCATGTATTAAAACATTTTAGTAATATTTTGACTTAGCACAAGAACACTGGGAAGCTTTAGCCAAATTGACACCATTTGAATTTGTGCCCATATATTTTTCCTCCATAAAACTTATATATTGGTGGCAGTGAAAGACACAACAAAATAGTTGGTATGGTAAACAGCCCTGCCTAGAGATAGAATGTCCACAACCATTCTGGAATGAGAAGTTTTTATAGTGTAAAATCTTCTGAAGTTACGGTTTCTGGGATTTCTCCATTGCAAGCATTGCTACATGGAAACTGTTAATGTGTTCATTGTTTCCCTGGGATATAAAATGGGTGTCTAATTAGGAAGTGCAGTTTGAAGCAGAGCCAGGCCTCAAGTAGATGGCAATTTTCCTAGTAGGTCACTCCATGGCTGTCCTTCACCAAGGATGGTACAGCAAGTTCAGTGTCTGGAAGAGGAGAGCTCTTCTCTTCTCCTCCCAACCCATACACAACTGCTCTGCCTTTGAGGACTAGGGCTCCAGAGAGGGAAGGGGGTTGCCATAGACTGCTAAGGAGTGCCCCCGTCTCCCAATTGTCATGCCTTTTAGCCCTCTTCAAAGCTCTACAAAGAAGAAGGCTGTTTATCCTACCACATGACAACAAAAGAAAACAGCTCATCTAGCAGTCAGGTGACTTTTAGGGACCAGTGATTTTCCCCTTACCACTGGGAGAGTTGAGCTCATGCATGTGGCATCTTTGAAGGAAAATTACAAAAACGAAAGGAGCCAGACCCATGATCCAAGGGACTTAGAGAACAGGCCGGGCTACCAGGCTGCCAACAACACATTCTGTGGTTCTCTGGCTGTAAAACAGAAGCAGCAGCATCAGCCTCTCTCCAACGGCAGGTGCTCACAACGAAATAACCACACTAACAACACGTCTTCAGATTATCTGTGCAGTTTGGCATCAGCTTCTCGATGACAAAGGAAAGCAGGAGGCAGACATAGAGATTTTGGGAGACTCAATCAAGATGAGTCCACTTGGGGGTGGAAGAACAGCGGTCCTCTTCTTGCCCCGGGAGTTAGACATGGGAGCATCTGCCTGGCTGGGCTTTCTTCAGCTTCATTAACAAGGACCTGATAGCAGAAGCCACAGGTCCCAGATGGTAATGGGGTTATTTAGGCAGTTCCTAAAACGTTTTATCTGGACTACTGCCTCCACCCTGTTCTTGCCTTGAAACTAGATTGCCTCCACCCTGCTCTTTGCTCTGGGCAAGGAAAGCCTTGAAGATAGGAGTACTCATTGCCCAGTATTGTGTTTGTGATTATTAGCGCCTTTTGGAAACTAGAAAGGAACTTGTACTTTAGAACTGTGTAATGTTCCCAACCCAAAGCCAATGTGTTTGATTTCCTCAATAAAGCACCAAAGAAATGTAAAGGATAGTGGTCCATATAGAAGTAAATCAAAGAGGTTATTTCATTCTCAATCTGAGGTTCAACAGAAATAACCACCAACTGCCCTTTAAAAAAGAAACTATATGATCTAAACAGTTTTTTTCCCCCAGCTAAATGACTTAATCTTTCATCAGATATTGGTGGTTTCACTGAAATAATTACATAAGTCTAAAATGATAGATTCTTGCATAGGCTTAACATTTAAAATCATTACTAGCAAGACAGAACATAAAGTGTTAAGTCAGGCAAAATTATGATTATATCCCATAAAGAAAAATAGTTCAAATTTCTTAAACAGACTACAACTTCATCTAAAATACTGTTCTTTGGATTAACACCAATATGTTTTGTATCTTTGCTTCTCAGAATGATCTCAAATAATGGCTCTAAATGATTTGCCAATCAAATTGAGAAACAATTTATTAGGAGGTGAGGGAGAGGACAAAATACTGATTTTTAGCCCTTGCATTTTCATTCCTGATCTATTTGTCTTTTTGGCTAGAACAAAATACAATTTTTAAACCCTTTAAAATGGAGATATAATATCAATGTTCCTTAACTCATTTGCATTTAAAAAAAATTATTTTCTAATAAGAGTATAACTAAGGATTTCTTGTCACAATTCAGTTCTTTAAAATATACATGCTATTAGTAGGATCAGTATAATAAATAGAATCTGTTTGATTAAAGGGAATCCAACAGATTCTAACTGAATTTTACTGTTACTAGATTTGGAGAATGTGCTCGGTGAGTTTCCAGGAAGCTCGCTCAGATAGGAGATCTGGGTGCTGGAGGCTTGCTGGGAAGTGCTCCAGGCTTTCCGCCTGTGGGGAAGGGAAGGAATCTGGATCAGGTGGAGGGAGAGGTTGGTTTCCAATGTTGATCCGGTGGAGGCCTAAGCTATCCCACAGTGAGCTCTGGAGCTGGAGGACCCTTCAGAGTGTCCTGCAGTGAGACAAGGGCTGGGCCTTGGTACCCACTGCACTCCCAAGCTGGTCTTTCTGGGGAGAGGCAGGTAGTTTCCTGATGCAGAATGGAGTCAGCTGTGAGCTGCAGGCAATGGGTGCTTGGTGCTGAAGAGGAATCTGGGTGACCTACCCTGGCATCCAGTACAAAGACTTATTTATATTTACTTTTTCCAGCTTTTATAAAGTATTTAACAGAAGGTAGTAGTCATTGCCAGGATAATAATTTAATGCAACATTAACTTTTCTGTCATTTGATTTCCTACTGTATGCCAAAAACAGTAAAACTTTCAGGGTAAATATTGAATAGGATGCCACCTGTCATTTAGAAGCCCACAGCTTAGCTGGGGTTTTGGATTCAGAGGCAGACTGGCGACAGCATGGCATTTGTTTTAGTAGAGATAAATATTAGGAAGATGTGGGTGGTTTTGTTAATTCTGAGTATATGGAAGCAAGAACACTTCAAAAACAAGAGACATCTCTTAAGATAAACCATTGTCACCTAATCGTTCAAATGTAACCTCTCTTTCCAGCTTCATTCTTGCTCGGAAAGCTATCCACCTCGCTAACCTTCAGAAAGACCAAAGGTAAGATTTTACTTATCAAATATAGGTTAGCTTTATATTGTGTGTTTTTGCACTGACAATATAATATCATTATGAAAAACAAATCACTATTATTCTCAAAATCCTAATAAATCAACCTTTTGTATTTTGCTACAGCCCTTCAACACAGTCCTTACCCATAAGCTTATATTAATTTAGTTTGCATATTTTTCTTGACTTTTATAGTGGTTGAGAAGTCGGTGTTTTCCTGTAAGGTGGATGGAGAAAAATCATAAAGACGTTAGCTGTGAAGAAAGTTTTAGAGGCTCAGTCCCAATCACCTTGCAAGACCATTATCCCTTTACTACAGTTCTCTGACATGCACTTTTTCTGAAAAGCAAAATCCATACATATGTGTTTCTACCTGTTTCAACTCAATAGAGAAAGAATTGTGGGTCCAGTGATCGGGAATGATTTGGCGAAGGCACATCTAGCTTATCACAAAGTCAGGAAGGGCATCTAATGCATACTTTCATTATGTCATACTAAGCTTGACATTTTCTTTTGGATTTCCTGCTTCCCCTCTTTACTAATAGTAAAATAAATATCAGCCTGAGTGTAGACATTGGTTATGATTCCAAATGGTATCTGAACTTCTCAAAAGTTTTTATACGACAAAACCTTTAGAAGCCTGAATATGTCATTGACTGGAGCAACAGTTCAAGAACCCACTGTATCAAAATCTTCTATAGAATGTTTGATGTTGTGTGTATGCCCGCATACACACATGAATGTTACACAGCAATAAAAATGAATGAAATCTTGCCATTTGTGACAACATGGATGGACCTAAAGGCTATTATGCTAAGTAGAATAAGTCACACAGAGAAAGACAAATACTGTGTGGTTTCTCTTACATGTGAAATCTGAAACAAACAAAACCAAACTCATAGAAAAAGAGGCCAAAAGGGATGGTTGCCAGAGGGAAGGGTTGCAGTGGGATGAGCAAAAAGGGGAAGGGGAATATAGTCATTAATGCTGTGATAAGTTTACATGATGACTAGAATTAGTGAGGTGATCTCACTACATTGTATACCTGAAACTAATAGAACCAATATAAGATTGTGTAACAACTATACTTAAATTTTTAAAAATGTTTGGAAAAAATATTTTTCTGAGGATGACAGATTATGATTCGGTAGGTTAGAAGTGGGGCCTGAGTATTTTTTAACAAGTTTTTCAAGTGATTGTGATGAGCAGCCAGGTTTAGAAACCAGTGGGTAAATTCAACTACGAAGTGATTTACAAGTGACCTCTTTTGGCCATCATTAAAATATGTCCTCTCATTTTTAGAGCCCAACTAAACAGTCAGTGTATTGCTCCAGTGTGTTAACTTTTCCAAAATTTTTTAATTTTAATGGGAGCAAGGAATGGGGAAGAGAATTTCCTGATATATTTGTATGAACTTATTCTTGACTCAACTAATAATATTAAATATAGTAAATAATGACATATTTCTATTATAACTGATTTATCACTCATGCATGAAAAATTAGCTGCAATGTAGGTTGATTAGATTTTAGGTTTCACTCCGTTTTAATAAATATTTTTAAAAATATTTTTATTGATTTCAGAGGGGAAGGAAGAGAGAGATCAATGATGAGAGAGAATCATTGATCGGTTGCCTCCTGCATGCCTCCCCACTGAGGATGGGGTCTGCAATCCAAGTATGTTTTCCTTGACCAGAATCAAACCCGTGACCCTTCTGTCTGCAGGGTGATGCTCTACCCACTGAGCAAAACAAGCTAGAGCTGTTTTAATAAAGATTTTATTATATGTCCCCAAAATAAGTTAAACCTCATTAAGTTTTTCAGAATGATGATCAATACTTTTGCTTTCTAATCGACTCAGAATGTTGGCATTATTCCTTGTAACTTCATGTGAAGTATGTAAGTATCAGTCATCTATATCTACATCATAGAGGGTACCATTCTAGGCTGAGGATGGACTTTCTTTTAATAAATGTTTTATTGAGTACTTACTACAGGTGGGACACTCAAGAGTGTTGAACCTCAGCCCTGTCATTAATTAGCTGAGTGATGTGGAACAATTCTCTTCAGTGCACTGAGCCCCAACCTTCTCATCTCTAAAATGAGGGGCTTGGATTAGACAGAGAGAGACAGAGCATAGTAGGTTTTTTAAAAAATACATTTAAAAAAATATATTTTATTGACTTTTCACAGAGAGGAAGAGAGAGGGATAGAGAGTTATAAACATCGATGAGAGAGAACCATTGATCAGCTGCCTCTTGCACACCCCCTACTGGGGATGTGCCCACAACCAAGGCACATGCCCTTGACCGGAATCGAACCCGGGACCTTTCAGTCCACAGGCCGACGCTCTATCCATTGAGCCAAACTGGTCCCGGCCAAAAAACATTTTTATTGATTTCAGAGAGGATGGGAGAAGGAGAGAGAGATAGAACATCAATGATGAGAGAGAATCACTAATCGGCTGCCTCCTGCACACCCCCTACTGGGGATCAAGCCTACAACTCGGGCATATGCCCTGACTGTGATCTCTTGATTCATGGGTAGAAGCTAACCACTGAACCACACCAGGCAAGATGACAGTAGTTTTGAGAGTACTTCCAGTTCTGCCTTTCCTTTACGACTAGTACAAACAGCTCCTTGAAGGGAAAACAAACTCTTCCTGTCTGTACTGGAACTTAAATAGCCACCTAATGTTGTGTGACATCACCTCAGGACCAGCATTTGTCTCTTCCTTAAAAAATTCCATGGTAAAATGTTGGCAAGAGCCCTGGAACTGACAGTGTTTATACTATACTCATAAGCTATTACTTCCTTAACATTTTGGTTCATTTTTTATAGAAAGAAAATAATCTGTGAGTTGTACTCCAAAGTGCTGGGAAGCGAGGAAGCTTTACAGGTAAGAACACCCTAATACCTAGCAGGTTGTTCTCAATTTGCTCCAAATGAATACACAAAGCAGATTCATGTTTTCTGCCAGTCTTATGAAGAGAGTATAAAGGGATATGCTTACTGGGGGAGTAACTTCAGCAATTACAGGTCATTAAAAGCCGCTGTCAGGTGCAAGCAGTTTCTGATGTAGTAATTCCTTGGACTATTTAAAGGTTCACTGAATAATTGGCAACCAGTTGTAGTCAGAGCCTGGAGCTGCAGGTATTATCTCCAGGGTAGATAAGATCAGTTCCCAGAACTGAGGGCTGTCCTTTCCTGTCATTGTCAACTGACTGCTGTGAAATAAAATCCCAGATACTTTATTATTTGGTGGTGAAGGCAAGTAGTTTATGCTTGACAATGTAACTGAATGTAGACTCTGCCCAGGTCAAAGTCATGCTAATTTGTTTTCCCATTTGTAGACTTGATTCACAGCTCACTTAGGAATTTCAGTGCTTTCAATCCACCACTGAAAGCAATCGTGAGCATGAAATTCTTTCTGAAGATCCTACCAGGTAGCTTAGGCCTCTTTTAGGAGATTATCTCTGATCTGTTCAAATAATTAATTTGCAGAATGTGTTAGGAAAATCATAAGAGGTCCGCTTATGTCCCTTGAGAAACATCTTCATCTTTAATTCTCCCCTTTTTATCAGAATTTCTGTCATTCACTTTTCTAGCTTAGAGAAGTGGTTCTGAAAAAGTAAATCTTAGACACTGCTTATTAATTCTTAGACTTCCTTCATCCACTTTTTTTCCCCCAGCAGTAATATGCTGGTGGTTGGGGAAGCTTCCATCTATTCTGTTTAGAGAATCCAGAGCTTTGAGGAGACTTTTCCAAGGCCTGGTTACCGATGGGGTTTCCTGTAGACTTAGGTCTACTAGTAGACTTTACAATCTGCCTGGAGATGTTCAGTGCCCAGATATTGGAATGCTTCACGTCTCCCCTAGTCAGGAGGTTGTGAAAGTCACAGTATACATGGTACCTCACAAAAGACCATTGCTTGGTTTTGCTATGTTTCCCTTATTGTGCTAGAAAAACAGGTCCACCTTTTTAAAAACTGTGAACTTTTTGTTAAAGTAAAATACACAAGAGCCTTCATTGTTGACTGGTAGAATTTCAGCTTTCTCTTTTCTTTGGAATTTTCTTCCCATTGAACTCCAGCCAGTGCATTATGAAGAAAAGAATTGGTGCGAAGAACAGTATTCTGGAGGCTGCTACACCGCCTACTTTCCTCCTGGCATTATGACTAAATATGGAAGGTATTACCCAGACACTATATCGATTAATATAAGACATACCCTAAACTTACAATATGAGCAAAATTCAACAGGAATTTTAGAAATAGTAGTCAGCATTTTTATTTCTAATCTCATAAGTAGTCAGTTTGTATATCTCTAGATGTCCATAGAAAAACAAGTATATGGGTACATAGAACAATAGCTGTCAGCACAGAGGTCAATAGCAGATACTGGTGAGGATTTCAGATATCAGCAGTACGTGTGAGAATTCTGCAAGTTGCAGTGTCTTCCAAGAGGCCTTCTTGAGCTCAATTAGACATTTAATCACACACGACCACTAGGCTCCTGGGCACCAGTCTACATAGAAGGGCATGGGTTAAACATGTCTTGCCAGGAGACATATTCATCTTCAGGGGGAGGCATCCCCATTGCATACAGCTAAGGCGTGAGGAGGTGATAGCCACCCAAGGTGGAGGATTCCTTCTTGGCTTAGAAGCCCCATAGGAGCCATTGTCTTTTGCAACAACCTCATTGGCATGGTGTTTGGGGTCCCTGCAAGGGGCACCACACTCAGTGAAGCTCAACATGATAGCCTCCTGCTAGGTATTTACAATTCATGCTAGTCTTCCCTGCCCAGATGCAATTTATTATTGTGGGGCAGAATTGCCTGATAACATACATGGCATTATACCTTCATCAGGTTTTTAAAGGATAAGAGCTAGAAAGTTAACTGAAGGTCACATTTGTCATGAGGAAGAAGAATTTATTAACCCTTTCCTTACATGAGATTATTTTTTATTATTAATTGAATGAAATACTCGTCGTTAGTGATAGCAGGATTGGGTAACTGGAGTAGTTCTGAAGTCTATAAGATGGGACTAGGATCAGCAATAGATGAAGCAAAAAGAGTCCTAAGTTGGGAAAAGGTATGGCAGTAGGTTGAGGTAGAGGCCTTTGGGTTAGAACTGTGCAGCTTGGGAGATTTTATGAAAGTGGCTGCAGGCATGGTAGGAGTCAAAGCCAGCAATGTCCGAGAGGACAGCTGCCCATTCAACCCAGCCCTTCTGTGGTTCTCTTTGGCAAGAACTCTCTGTTAAAGAAGGTCCTTTACCCTGCCCTCAGCCAGTCTACAGATAAATTCATAGACACCAACTGTACAGAGTATTTTTAAAGGAGACATATATAATCCTTCAGGATTTTTTAAATGTGTTTTTATTGATTTCAGAGAGGAAGGGAGAGGAAGAGAGAATCATTGATCAGCTGCCTCCTGGACACCCCACACTGGGGATCAAGCCTGCAACCCAGGCCTGTGCCCTGACCAGGAATCGAACCCCTGACCCACGCTGGCTGGGCTCCCCTCAAGTCTTCTTTGCCAGAAATCATTTAATCTTCCTGTCTTCCTACTTGCCAGTATAGTTATTCCTGACAACCTGGGAGTGCCTGCATGGCTGGGGTGTGCCATCAGATGTGATCCTTGCAGAATCCACTTTGGAAAGACAGTGTAGAGAACAGAATGGACTTCAGATATAAAACATACAGCAAATAAATCTGACTGGATTTAATGGATGTGCTTATATTCCAATTCTAGATGGCTAGGAAAAGGTCAACATCACCCGTAGTGATTGATGATCTGACAGCCTGATTCTCTCTGGCTTGAAAGTTTGGACCCTTGGGTGCAGGCCCTGGGAATAAGGAAGAGCCTTTCACCTTTGGCTGAGTTACGTGGGCCTTTTTGAAACAATTTGAGTTACCCTGTCTTCTCTGGGATAAAGGAAGGCAGCAATTGGCTCATTAATCCTCAGTGCCTTCTCAGGTAACTGTGTGATCTCTCTGTTCCCTTGAAGGATAATTCGAGAACCAGTAGACAGGGTTCATTTTGCTGGAACGGAGACTGCCACACATTGGAGTGGATACATGGAAGGAGCTGTGGAAGCCGGAGAGCGAGCAGCTAGATCGGTAAGGGATGAAGCCAACTCAACCTCCCTCCTGAGTCTAGCAGTGTTTTTGGTACCTGGCCTTTCTAGATCTTGACGTTGATAAATCTGTATGTCTACTTCTCTGCCCCTTACTCCACCCAGGGGGCTCATTGGTGGCCAGCAGGGCCTCGAATCTGTTAAAATTACAAAACCTCATTTCACAATACTATTGCCACTTTCTTTCAGATCTTGAATGCTCTGGGAAAAGAGACAAAGCAAGACATCGAGGAGCCTGAGTCAGAGGTAAGTTTGTCAGCTTCATCACCATAGACCAGTAACTACGTGAAAAATGCATATTTTCATCTTCTAGCCTCTGGTGTAATTGTAGGTGCCACTCTCCAAAGCGTATTCGTGCACTAGTTTTACAGATATGTTCTGCCCCTCTTTGTTAGTGCAGAAGTCTTCAGCTAATGATCTCTGTTTTTCCATCTAGGAGGTCCCAGCTAAGGAAATCACACACACTTTCTGGGAAAGAAACCTCCCCTCCGTGCCAGGCCTGCTCAAGATCATTGGGTTCTCCACATCAGTGTCCGCCGTGTGTTTTCTGGTGTGCAAGTACAGGCTGCTAGAACGATGCTGAAGCACTCTGTGCTTACTCTTTTCCAGTACCATCAGAAGGAAAACGTTGACAAATTAATGGCTGTGTCTCATTAGACTATTGTTAAGTGCACTGGATGTAACACCTTAGTTTAGTCTGTGTTAAAGTAAAAACAACTTACAGAATCCCACCTAATAACCGGTAAAGAGCATGCTCCATCTTATTTGTCTGTGTAGACTCATATTGTTTGGTAGAGAAAATTCTTGTGATCAGTTTCTTAATTTCAAGTTCAAGTGCTCATCAGAAATGATTTCTGTGACCTGTTTTTCTCCCCTTTAACATAAAATGCCTGGTGATTACAGAAATGAAACCTTTCACTTTATGTAGAGGTTGAATAGGTGAATGCCCAGGGTTAGCTTGTCTATTTTCCCGTTTTTCTTCTTAAAGAGGAGAGTGTTTACCAAGGCATAATGACTAAACTGACTTTCTGTGGCTTCTGTGCAGCTCTCCGGGTGAGCAGAGTGAACTAGTGACAGGGTTGTCCCCATGAGGCCTCGCTGGCTAGCTCTCCATGAAGCATCTTTTCTTCCTGGAAGATGGCTAGACATCACTTCACTCTTTATTGACAACATTTTCTGCCAATTTCAAGAAAGCAGTATTTTCCTTTTGTAACTTTTATTTCAGGTAGACCCTGGCTGTCTGAAAGCCCCTAGTGGCATATATATATATTTTTTCCTATGACCATAATAGCATTACAGAGCTCTTAACTTAAATATGTCTTTAACATAGTTAGCTTAGAGTAAACGTTAGCATGATAATTTCTCTCAAATAATGGAAATAGACATTAAAATTTTCTTATTATTTGTTGAGACTATCAGATACAGAAAGGAAATTAGGGCTCTGTATTATAAATTCACTTGCCTTAGTTATTAAGTTTTCTAAAAGAAATGGAATTGAGTGATTTCACATATGAACACTAAGTTCTCTTAAGGAGTAATGTGGGCCAAGAACAGTGCCTACCTCTTGTCTTTTGCATTTTAAAAACTGTCAGAATTTGAAAGCTGCTTCCAAAGGTTTCAGCCACAAAACACATATTTTCTTAGTATCAATACCTGGGGAAAATATCAACACACATGTGATCAAATAAAGCAGTTGAGAAGGTTCAGTGGACTCAGGTACACAAGTGGTGGGGATACAGTAACACCTTCTCCTGCATCATCAATGAATGATAGCTGAAACTTACTCTTTTATGTGCCAAAAAATTTAAATACAAGTATTGAAGATAATACTTCCACACATTATTAAACAGGCTAGATTCAAAATATTATTTTTTCTCAGGTCAGTTATATGCCTCAGTTGTCTTATGCTTTTATCATAGAGCAGATACCATTGTGTTTGCCCCTTCACTAAGTATCACATTTGTTTTATAGCTGTTGAGTCGACTGCTTCTTCTGTCTTCTGTATTCAGCATTTTTTTCCCCATATCTTTATCTTCTAACACTCCTTAACCTAATCTATTTTTTATTGAATGGGAATTAAAGACTGCCATAGAAAACCAACCCAAGTTTATTGCATAATTAACCTTATCATAAGTCCAAAATTAAGTAATGGCCCTGGTGTGAGGACTTAAGGTATTTGTTTTGCCTATCCTAAGAGCAAAGAGCAGGGTTTTTATGCTGCTCTTTGCCTTTCATTTGAAAAGTGTCTTAGCTAATTTAGGAGTGTTGGCAATGTCTTGCATATGTTCTATTACATAAGGAGGTGCCACATATACCAAACCGCTTGGCGAGGTCACATCCCTGACCTATTTCAGTTGTTTGTTCAGTTAATGGTTAACTCAGTCGTGAACCTTATGGGGGAAAATTAACTGGCAAATTTCACAGTAATTAGGTTGATAGGATATGCAAGTCTTGAATGTTAAAAAACTCCTGAGTATGCAATTACCCTCTTCTCAGAATTTTTAGAAAAGTCCTAAGCTACAGATAATCAAAATGGATGTCAGTCCAAATGTGCATAAACTTGAAATCAGAGCCAAGAGCTCCCACCTTATAAGAGATTGTTCAACACCAGATACCATAGGTCTTTTCAATCCAGAGAAACTAGTTAGTTCATGCAGTTGATAGTGGGTTGCCCTGTTAAGGCGTCTTGTTTCACAGTTCTGAAAACTGAGTTGGCCTTACTCCATTGTAAGATTAAGAACTTCATTTTAAAAGTTATCCTTTTTTTTGTCATAACTGTTAAGTATTTATACTACACTGAAGAGAAATATTATAAGGTCACAAACTACATTTTGTTTGTGAACTTGATGCCTAATGTTCTGTCTGAAATGTGCCCCATTGCTACTTGTGGGACTCTGCATATGTGTGTTTTTGTTTGCAAATGAAATATGCTTCTGTGTGTATGGTACTGTTTCATTTCTTAATAAAGTGCACTGTCACCTGACTCAGACCTGGCTTCCCCATTTAGTGGCTAGTCCCAAGATGAAATGGCTTCTTACGGCAGGAGGTTCCAATGAGGGTAATGGGGGTCCATGGATGATGGGTTTAACAAGCCACTTTGTTTTGACTTCACCTTCTCATAGTTGGTTTTCTCTCATGTTTTACCAAGGTTTCCTGGGGGCTGATTACATTTCAGAGTATTGTCTGCCTGGGCTTTCATCAGTCAGTGTAGATTCTGGTAGAAGCTTTCTCAGCTAATTAACTTAGAACAAATCACTTCAGTTCTCTGCCTAACTTTCCCGTCTGGACTACATGCAAATCACTCGGCCTTTCTGGATCTTGGTTCACTCCTTTGCCTTAGGCTAGGTACCCTGGAAATAGACTCTGAGATGCAGTCAGGGCAAAAAGTTTATGAGGACAGCTCCCAAGTACAGGGATGAGGAAGGCGGAATTAGACCGGAGTTGACCTTCAAAACAGTTGCAACTGAGGCCTCAGCAGATCCTGAGGAGGAGCTGGGAAGGCCCTTCAGAATTACCCCCCACTGAGGCCAGGGGGTCCGGCCTCCACATCCCTTCATTAGCCATCCTCTGGGGGGAGTGCTACTTGGGGTGCGGAACTGCAGCTGTGAACTGACATCAGCTTGTATTCCCAGAACCGGGGGACCCAGGGCGGGCACCCACAGATCCACTTCACTTGCTGTGAAAATGTATGGTGCGCTTGGTCATGTAAAGGATGCTGTGGACTTGAGCTTTGGGTTTTATAGATAGAATGGAGCTATCGCTGTGAAACTGCCCCTGTTAGATAAGGTGATTGCTTTTCTTTTTTAAAAAATTTAAATTCTTTATTGTAGAAAGTATTACATATGTCTCCTTTCCCCTCCCCCACTGACCTCTCCCCTGCTGTTCCCACCCCCCAGCACAGACCCTCACCCCCGCCCTCCTAGTGTCTGTGTCCATTGGTTATGCTTATATGCAAGCATACAAGCCCGTTAGTTGATCTCTTCTCCAACCCCCCCCCCACACACACACACACATAATCCCCTGACTTCCCTCTGAAGTTTGATGCTTCCCTGTCTCTGGATCTGTTTTTGTTCATCAGTTTATGTTGTTCATTATATTCTGCAAATGAGTGAGGTCATGTGATATTTATCTTTCCCTGACTGGCTTATTTTGCTTAGCATAATGCTCTCCAGGTCCATCCACGCTGTTGAAAATAGAGTTCTTTCTTTTTTTACACTAAGGTAATTGTTTTTAAAAGGTTGTATTTCTTGGGCTCTGGGCAGAGAAAGGAGGGAGTGGTGGTGCGGGGCTACTGGGGTCTCTTCACCAGACACCCCTCCTCCCTCCAGCCTTATCCCAGCCCTGAGTGCACACCAGAAGGGGGAGGGGATGTCGTGGGCTGGGACACACCCGGGACAACACAAACTGGAGGAAGGGAGAAATGTCACCAAGGACCCAGGGCCCTTTTCTTTCAGTTCCCCAGCAGGGCAGGCCCCGCTGGACACTCCCTCCTTAGCGCCCGCTCAGTCCCCTGGCAGTCCCAGTGCTGACAGCCTAGCCCTTGCCCTGGACCCTTGCATGTTCCCTCTCCAGGTAGCTGCTTCAGCCTCCACTTTGGGGAAGGTTGCACCTGACTCCTACTTCCCTGGGGCGCCCTCCCCAGCTCTATGGCCGAGTTCAAGTTTGTGCTCCTCCTGGGATCTATTGAGACGACAAACTTTTGAGAGGATAAAAATCAAGAGGAGCCGGTCCAGAGCAGAAAATCCTTCCTCACCTCCAGGTCTGCCCCAGCCCATGGGGGTGGAGTTGCCATTGCTTTCACAGGTTGAGGATCTGCAGGGAGGTGAAGTCAGAGATGCCAGGGACAGCCCTGACTAGCTGGACCCACTGCCATCCACATCTGCTCAGCAAATTAGGGAAGGCTCACTCCAGGCCTTGGTGGAGCAGATGCAGACGGTTGCCCAGAGCTGCGTCCCTCCTTTGCTCCTCCCTGGCCTGGCTGGGAAGGAGGAACCCAGTTCACTTCCAAGGACGTGGAATGTCAGCAGAGCCACAGCTGCAGTTGCCTCCTGGAGGCTGACACTGGAAGCAGCTTCTGCCCACCCGTTCTCCTTGATGGCTTGGCCTCTTTGTTCAGTTTGCTGTTGTGGTTTCTCCCTCATTTGGGGGAGCCCTGGGATGGGGGCCTAAACCGGCAGTCAGACATCCCTCTCACAATCCTGGACCACTGGCTCCTAATCGCTCACCTGCCTGCCTCCCTGGTCACCCCTAACTGCCCCCTGTTGCTGACTAGGTCACCCCCAACTGCTCCCCCTGCTGGCCTGGTCACCTTCAACTGCCCCCCTCTGCCAGCCTGGTCACCCTTCATACCCCCTCACCCCACCCCCGCCAGGCCTGGTTGCCCCTTACAGCCTGCTTATTTAGTCGTTTGGTCGTCTGACCCTCACCTCCTAATCCTTCCCCAATTGCCCCACAAACCTTCAAGCTGCTGATGGCAAGGACTGGCAGCTTCCAGCCCTGCTCAGAAGCAAATTCAAATTCTCTTCTGGGCAAGGAGGAAGGGCAGATGCTCCTTCCCAGGCCTCCCTTGCTCACTGACCCATTTTGAGGGCATTTTCGGGTCAAAGCAGACTAGATTGCTTCAATTGGTGTATAATTTGCATTCTTCATCACACCCAAAACCCAGCCTTCTCACATCAAGGAGTAAGTGGTCTTCACCCCAACCTGCACCTCTTCCCTGGCCCTCAAACCAGTGATGATAAAGGTTTGGAGAGACAGAGGACTAGAAGGGGAACAAGCAATTTGCTCCACAGAGAAATCAGTAGCTTCAGCTGTTCATGCCACCGATGTGTATTTAGCATGTACTATGTGCAAAGCATGGCCTCTGCCTCAGTGTGAGGCTTCCGTGACTGTGGATAAATATATAAGTAAATAAATGGATGGCAAATAAATAAATAAATAAATAAATAAATAAATAAATAAATGGTGATGTTTCTGCACTATTCTTTCTGTGAAAGAAAGAAAAAATCTGATTTGGAAGGAACTCTGGAAATGTTTCAAATTCTGTCTCAATAAAGGAGCCCCCTCTACAATATATCAGTAGAAAGATCAAAGTGGGTGGTGGGGGAGAATATGCATTTCTAAGCACACATCTTCAGGAGTTAGCGAAAAATGAGCAGCAGGCATGATGATTAAGAAGTAGTGGGGACTATGGTTGACCTGGAGAGTATCTGTCCCTGAGAAAATCATTTACATTCCAGTTCCTTTCAAAGATTGCTGACCAATCAAGATATATTTGAAGGTTTTGCTCACATGTCCAAATGGTTCTCAAGTCTCATAAATAAATGCAAGGCTTGTTTTTACATTATGTGAATGATAAAGTCTTTTTGGATGTCTTCGATTTCCTGAGGAACAAGCGGCAAGGCCAGCAATCATTTTGTAAAGCTTCCTGGAGCAGGTAAGAAAGGCCTGATAAAGTGTGGGGTGCGGCCACAGTGTTCCGACAGGTTCAAGCCTCGGACTGACGAGAGGGCACAGTCCCCTCATGGTCATGTGCAAGTCCCAGCATGGAGGGCAGAGCCCTCCCAGCACCATGACAGCCAACAGCTGTGGTTGTCAGCTTGAGCCTGTGGTCCGAACACGTGGCCCCACATGCCTGAGTGATATAGGCTGCAAGTAAACACAGCTTGATCAGGTACATGAGTTGAGTGGGATGGAAACCCGCCAGAATGTTGTAAACATCTTAACCAAGCCCTTCCTTTGCCTCGTGGCATCGGCTATCAAATAAAGATGGGCTTGTAGTCTGTGGCGCTGTCTCTCCATCACAGAAGCAGCGTCTCACCAAGACCCAGCTTTCCTTCTCTTGTCAGTCTTTTATAAGCCTTCACTGCCCCCTCTCAGGGTCACTGACCCTGGCTGAGCTGGCTGGTACATAAGCCGCCCTGGGCTGAGTATGCCATGGCTGTGCCAGCTCCCCACAGTAAAGGATACAAAGAGAAATAGGGGAGAGATAGGAATAAAGCCCTCTTAGATCAGAAATCTCCCACAAGAAGTAACCTGGCGCCCAGACCATCCCAAGGCAATGCTTATCTCCTACAATGTCAATGTCAGAATTGATGAGCAGTGCCAAAGTTAATTGGAAAAACTGCACCCTTACTATGAGGTGGAAATCACAACTCTTTTGTCAGTGTTTAATCTCTGTTGCCTATAATGTAATTCCAATAAGCAGGACATCAACAGGGAATGAATATATTTTTTAAAACTAGACTGACCACTACTCTGAGGTGGTGGTAAAATGCAAAGCGTGTGCCTTAGTGTAGAGTCACTGGAGGAACTGGAAGGAAACAAATGAAGGTACTGGGCAATAGTAACAACCCCCCTTTCCTTTGTCAGCGCCCAGGGCTTGGTTTCCTTCCTTGTCCAAAGCCATGCTCTTCAGAATTCCAATGCAGGTCTCAATACCAGCTGATGTCAACTAGTTGTCTTACCTGGATTCAGGTTTGGAAGGGCAGTTTAAAAATTGGCTCCAGGGAACTTGGGATTCCTTTAAGGTGTATAGCAGGTCACTCAAGCAAGACTCCACTCCATGCATGCATGACTCATACAAGACATTTATTTACACTCCTTTATAGCCACACCTCAGTGGGAACCATGTTTGCCTATTTAATGGGCCTCAAATATTTTCTAAGAACCACAGAGATCCATAGGGAAAACTGGCACAGGGTGGTGGTGTGGGTATATCCTTGGGTGGTGGGATGGGAGCAAGAAAAAGAGAAGGAAAATGGGTGGGGAGGAGGGTTGTTTAGATGTCCGCAGAGCAACACGATGAGACATTGGATGGGTTGCTAGCACCAAAATAAATAGGACACACCTAAACTTGCCCTATAATTGATGGGAAAATTAAGTAATTCGGGTTGTAGCAAACAACAAGCATTAGCTGTTATTCATTGACCTCTTAGAATAGAAGCAGAAAGAAGGCACTTTTGAATTTTTGTGAGCAGTTATTGCC